GGGTAGCTGGGGCTTTTCCTTGAGTGCCAGCAGAGCTGGGTGCTCCCAGCCTGTCTCTGTGCCCTCCCAAGCATTGGGAACAGCAGAGACATCCAGCCCAAAGCAGGCACAGGTTGTCAGGGGTGAAGGCACCTGAAAGTGGTGCGGGTTTATGGTGTAAGCAGGTGGCAGATGCCACGTTTGTGTCTAGGAACAAATGCAAGCCCTTGCCTCCTTGTTTTCCAGGGTCAAGAAAATGCCTTTGTCAAGGACTTTGTCGGTGCTGCAGAGGTGAGGAGGGAGATGGCTCATTTGTTTATCAACACAAATGAACTAGTTGTGCTTAAAAATAAAATTTTAAAAATAAAATTTCAGGAATAAATTAATCTGTGGAGACTAGGTCCAGTGTCCAGGGAAACATGAAATGTTTTCAGACCTTATTTTTCTCAAAAACTGAAAAGAGATGCTTCTGTGCTGTGTACAAATGCAGAGATATGTGCCTGAACCAATATGTCAAACTGTCATGTGGGAGATTTGGTGAAAAACATCTTGTCCTAAGGGAATAATTTTAAACACTATATGTAGGTTTGCTGCCTCATAAGGGATCATTACTCAAATCTATTCCCTCTTATGGTAGCTTGGCCTCTGCTTAACGGGCACGGAGTGAACAGAAGCCCATTAACGCGTCCTTTAAGAGTGGTTATCAGATGGTAGAGGGGAAGCAGATCTCTGATCAGGGAATATGGTGTTATTGGCCAAATCCTAACAAGATCAGTGGCAGTGCAGGGCCTTCACGCTTGGCTGGCCATCGAGGGCGCGGCGGGGCCGTGCTGTGCCGGGCAGCCGGACCCTGGGCAGCGCGGGCGCTCAGGCTGTGTCAGAGCGGTGAAGAAGTGTAAGGGATGAGCCCTGCGGCAAGGAGCCATTCTAGGGATCCTCACCTCCTGTTTGTCACTTCAATCTCGAAGGAACGCTGAAATGTGGAGTGGAACCCACTCCCAACCAGACCCCTACCAGACTGCGTCTGTGCTCTCGCTCCTGTGTCTCACTGCTTTCCGTCCTTTTGTTGGTGGTGATTCTGGCAAAAATAGGAAGTATGGCATGAGCAGCACCTGAAGAGCAGCGTCAGCTCCTGGTATCTCAGCACAGCATCTGCAGTTACCTTGGCTACACCAGCGCTCCCTCAATTAGCCTCCTCTCTGACAGAAGATGCACTCAATGTGTGGTAGCTGTGCAGGTGAACTTATTTTAAATGGGATTACTTTACTTAAAAATTGGGACACCTCACAGTGCTTGGTGAGGTTATCACAGTAAAGAGAACAAGTTTGTTTTTTCATAATGCATAAGAAGATGCTACATGACAAAAGAGGCTTTATGCTCAGGGTCTCATGAAAAAGGGAGAAGGAAGCTGGAGGGACTGAAGGTGTATACACATGCTGTCTGCAGAGTAAGGTGAATGCCAGGGTCTAACCTCACTAAAGAAATGTGTTTTTCCTGAGCTGAAATGGAAAAGCAGCCTGTAGTGTGTGTATTGAATTTTTTTGTGGTGCAGAACTCCTGGTTCTCTTCCTGTGTCCCAGCTGCAGGCTCCAACGCTGCTGGCCAGGCTCCTGGGTTAGTCACCACACTGCCATTAATGCTGTGTAAACAAACAAACAAACAAGCAGCAACCTTTTCTTTTTGAAGGCTGTATGCCTTTGCAAAGTAGAGCAGAACGAAAGAGCAGCTTCCTAAAATGTGCAAGGTCAGAGCAGGGGGTCGGGCCTGGAGGGAGGCTGGGGAGCCTGGCTGGGCGCTCTCTTCTCGCTGTTTGTCTGGGGCTGAATGGCTGGAGTGTGTTTGGCTGGGTAAAGCTTGGTCAGAAGCTCTTACCTAAAAGTAAACTGGCTCTTGAGACCACCACAGCATCACCAACAGCAATGGGGAAGGACACCATCACGAAGGAGTATTTTCTAGATTTCTTTTGGTCTTTGGTCGCTTTAATGCTTTGAGTTTCATGCCTTTCATTTGAACATGACATGAGCTTATAGATGATGTTTGATTTTTTTACCTCTGCCTTCAGCATTTGCTGTTTCCAAGTAGCACACACTGTCCTTTGCACAGGGTGGTTGTGCTTTTGTCAGTCCCAGGGTTCTGTGTCATGTCCTTTGGTTTGGAGGGGAAGTCTCCACCCAGACCATCTCAAGATCTTGGGTGTGGAGGCTGGCCCTTATTAGAAGTGTACTGCTTTTTTTAATAACTCAGATTTCTTGCAGTAATTGCTAATAGAGGCAGTTGTGCAGCTTAAAGCTAATTAGTTAGAAAATTCCGTGCTTTCAGTGAGGTACTTCATGACTGACAGTGATTTATCTGGAACTTGGCAGCTGTGAGGCAATGATGTGGTGACACCATCTTGCATTACCTGACTAATTTTAACGTGCCGAGTCACGTCCATCTCAGCTACCAGGACTGCTCTGGACCGTGGACATTGTGGCTGGGGAGTGCCGGGACACTGTGGCTGTGAGGGAGGAGGCAAACAGGATGGCTGGTGGAACGGGTCTGCTGGGAGAGTGTTACTGTTCTGCACAAGCATCAGGCAGTATCTCATGCTTGAGAACATAATTCTTACCAGGTGGATCAGCACAACTTTAATTTTTTGCTACAAAGGTTTTTTTTCTTGGAAAGCATAATACTTTTGTCAAGACAGAAATACTGGAAAAAAGTAAATTGCACTGAAAATTTCCATCCAGATTGGCTTTGAGAATTCTTGTGCCAGTGCAAGCTTTGCTGCGAGCTGTCTTTGTTTTGGATTTGAATACGTCATTTTTTGTGCTCGTTAATGACAGACAGGAGAGCTGGAGCTCCCACAGTGGTGTCCCATGGTGAGCAGTGTCAGTCAGTGTTGGCTTTGCAAACTGAGGCTCAGTTCCTGCTCACCTCTTTTACTTGGGTTTTCCTCTCAAGCTAAGGAATCTTGTTCATCCGTGTGGGATTTTGTTTTGATTTCTTTATCAGTAGTTTGCTTATGAATTTTATCCACAGCAAAATGGCTTAGAAATAATTTGCTGATTTACAAGCAAATAAGCTTAATTTTTAATTCACTAATTCCTTGTGGCTTATGAATTTGTTCACATAGTCATTGCTGAGGACAAGCTCTGTTCGAGGTGTTGGGGTACCTGCACAGCTGGAGCAGGGGAGCTCTGGCTCCGATCCCAGCCTGGGAATGTGCCACCTCTGCCTTGGCTGTTGGGGGTCTCCTGCAGCCCTTGTAGAAACACTGCTGGGACCCCTGGGCCCCTTGTGGCAGCAGTTCAGCTGTAGGACTCTTTCCTCTTTCTCTGCAGGAGAGGAAGAGAGCTGCTGTCACAAGGACTAATCTCAAGGCGCTGGCTCTTCCTGTGCCGAGCCCAGCATGTCCTGTGCAGTCAGGGAGACCTAAGAATAAAAACAGTGGGTACTGCATGTCTTGTGAGCAAATACAAGTAAGGAAAACATTTCCTGTTCACAATTTTTTGCACAATCCCATCTGAGTTTTGAATAGTTTATAAATAAAAAATGTCTTAGGTATACTTGCATTCTGGACAGTAAGTTAAATTGAACACCTGATCAAATAGCAGTTATTCAGGGAGTCTGGGGTTTTTGCCCTGTGATTTTCCCAAAGCTGTAGGACTCAGGGGTGACAAAAAAAAAGAATAAAAGCTCCACGTGCTGGGAGAGGATCTGTGCCAACACCTCTTTGCCTGCTGGAATTTCGGGTATCACACAGCAACCTCCACTCCATGCTTCTGCTCAGCCCCTCAGTGCTGCCTGTTCATCAAAACTAAAACCACCCAACCCATCTGCAGGGAGCTGGAATCCGTTTGGGTGTAGACAGTGTGAGCAGCTTTGCCCTGCTGCTGCTGGATCCTCGACTGGAGCAGCACCAGAGGGTGCCTGGGGAAAAGCAATTGCAGAGCCTGTCTGAGGTGTGCAGTGGAGCTCTCTGTGGATTTTGCACATTGCAGGGCTGACCCAGCAGCAGTGCTGCTCTGGAGCCGGGTTCCTTCTCCCAGCATTTATGGCATCATGTCCTCAGATTCTTGGTAGTTCCTGTGTGGTGTTGTTATACTGTTTTAGTTATGAGCATCTCTGACATCCTGTGATAATCAAGCATTAATAGCTTTTTCCAGTTTAAACCAGGGACTTCCAGGTTAAGTTTAACATCATTTTTAAATATCATTGTGATTGTGTAACAAGCTGTTCAGTTCTGGTTTTGTATCTGGTATAGCAGGAGGTTCAGTGAAAGTAATATGAGTTGCCCCATGAAGTGTGGTATCCCTACACTGCTTGGCTTTGTGGAACAGGAGAAAGGTGATGGGAAGAAAAGTTCTGAGTTGTTAAAATATTTACAACTGTTTTTTGGCATCTTTTCATGTTCTACCCATTTTAGCTATTCTTCACATTAACTGTAAAAGCTGGAGGAAAAAGGCCTGTGGACGTTGTTTAGGGTGTTTCAGATAAAGTCTTACATTTCTGTGGTTAACAGAAACTAATGATAGCTAAAGATCATACCAAGTCCTAAAATGAACAAAATTTTAAGAAAAATGTCATCATGGTGCTCCATTAACAGAGGGGAAGAGGGAGACCGATGCTGGGACTGACCACGAGGGCACGGAGGATTCGGGGCTGGCTTCCTGCTTGGTGGTGTCTCAGCATCTGTTTCCAGCAGCGGAGGGTGTGCAGGGAAGGAAAATTCCTGATTGTGCTGCTGTCTAGGACACACTCATCAGTCCCAGGTCCATCCCTGGTGTTCAGACACATCGTTGGTTTCTCTCAGGTGGTGTTCTTCTGGCCCAGAACCAGCCACAGGACCTCGCTTTGGGCTGGGGAGGGGGAGCCATACCTTTGGTGGTGACTCGGTGGTGGCAACACACGGCATCCTCCGAGCCGGAGATGCAGGAGAGGGGTGTGGGGTGAGGGTGTGGCAACACCACTGGCAGGCTGTGAGTTGATGGGGTTGCTTGTCACAGGCCTCCTAACCTCTCTCTGTGAACCCTTTGCAGCCCACGACCTTCCCCCGAGCAAGACCTCGGCGGCGGCGGCGCAGACGGGCACCCACCTGCAGTGCCTCTCGGTCCACTGCACGGACGACGTGGGCGAGGCGAAGGGCCGGACTGCGGTGCCGACGTGGAGGTCCCTGCACTCGGACATCTCCAACAGATTCGGGACTTTTGTGGCTGCCCTGACTTGAACAAAAGAAATTATTATTTTTTTTTCTTTTTTTTTTAATTTCAAAGGGCCGCTACTGCTAGGTGGACTATTTTTCTAGGTTGGTACCTGCTTAGTGGCATATGGACTGGAAAGGGTTAATTTAAAGTAAACCTCAACTTTTTTTTAATCTTCTGCCACAGTATGTTACCAGTGTTAACCCTTCTGCAGTTAGCACACTTTTGCTTAAGATTTTCCTGCTAGACCACTTTTTCCCATTATTCTGTAACCTTGGCATACATTTATAGATGAGGCCTTTTCCTTTTTCATCTCAGTGTGTGTCCAAGTCACGTATGTCATAATAAGACAAAGATTCTCCTCTTCTTCCTCTTCCTCCTCCTCCTTTTCTTCCTCATTTGCTTTGTTTTTCTTTTTTTTTTTTTTTTTTTCTTTTTTTTTTTTTTTTTTTTTTTTTTTTTTCTTATTAGGATGGTAATCCTGAGGAGCAGCAGTTCNTCCTCTTCTTCCTCTTCCTCCTCCTCCTTTTCTTTCTCATTTGTTTTTTTTTTTTTTTTTTTTTTTTTTTTCCTGTTTCGTTTTGTTTTGCTTTGTTCAGTGCTTATTAGGATGGTAATCCTGAGGAGCAGCAGTTCAGGAATAAACACCAGTGAAAGCGAAATGGTCAGCATTAAATCATACGTTACAGTGACACCCAGCTTTTGCCAGTCTCCTACAAACCAAGCAGTTAATGCTCTGTTGAATGTTCAGGCATGGACCTGCCCTTTCCTGAGAGAATGAGGCTCTGCTTTCAGCCTCGTTGTGCTCTGTGCCTCCTGGTGAGGCCAGGATGCTCTTCCTCTGTGTACCTGGGTGTAGTCCTGGGATGGAGCTCTGTCATGAATGGGCTGGTTCAGGCACAGCAGGGAAGGTATGGAGAGGTTTTTCTAAATGAGTTTAATGGTCATTATCTCCTCCTCCAAAGACCCAGGCTCCTTCTTGCTTGCCTGGGCTCAGTGGTGCTCCTGCAGTTCCCACTTTATTGATAGTGGAGAAGAAAATCCCCTGCACCCTGCCCATTTTTTGGCCATTTTAAACTGTAGAAAGATGCTGTTGATTGGCAGCAGGTCCAGTGTCCCCTGCACTTGCCTGGGGGTGCCCCAGCCCCTGCCACAACAGGTCCCATGTCTCAGTGCAGTGGCAGGGTTCAGGGATGACCCAGGTTGGAAGATGCAAGGGGCTGTGTGCCCAGGGGTGGCATTTCCTAGTCAGCCAGGGCAGGGAGACCTGGTGTCACAATCCCCCACACTCATTCAAGGCCCCATTTCTGCCACGCACTGAAGAGCAGCGTTGCTGGATGCACACAATAAAAGGAAAGCCATACTTTCCTGCTCGGGCTAGATAATGCTCATTTGAGATGAAAGTTGGAAGCAAACCAGATAAACCCACAAGCTGACACGGTGCCCAGGAGTGGCCCCGTCCTGCCTCGTGCCTGCAGCTCACCTCCCACAGCTCCTGGAGCTCAGGAACAGCACTAGAAGGTTTGGTTTTGGTTGTGAAATAAAGGTTGGCCTCTCTAGGGTTATTTATTCATGATTTCACAAATGTGTCCCTGCTAAAGGGATAGAGTTGAAGACTGCTTTATATTTTATCTTTGATGATTGTGCTGGGTCTTTAATTAATTTTAACGTAATATTCTTGGTAGACACCAACAGAGAGGAAATTCTGCCTAAAAAGCCAAGGGTGGTCTGGAATCCTCACTCTCAGTCATATGTGGCTTCAGAGAGACTCACAGTGTTTGGAAATGTGATTTGAATGTGCTCTTATTAACCATGCATGGATTGATTTATGGGTCTGGTCAATGAATTGACTTTGGATAAATTTGGATAGTTTTTAATCTTGGTTTTCAATATTATTTTACTTTGTATTAAAGCTGGAGCTTCCACGAGGATGAGGATTTTTGCCCATCCTGGAGCAACTGGCTGTGGAGCTGCCTCACACCCACTTGGTTTGGATCAAAAAGCTGGGATGGTCTGTACCTCTGTCGGGGTGTGCAACCAGGAGTGCAGAGCTCCTCCTGCACCTGCAATAAAATGTCACCATCCCCAATAAAGTATCTCCTAGTAATCACTGTCAGCCCCCTTCCAGAAGATGCCTCTTTGCCTGTGATTCCTCAAATCCTGGCTTTCCTAAGTGTATGTTTAATTTTAAATCCTGTCAGCAGAGCACACGTGCTGCTGTGGGAGCTCAGTCTGCAGCCGGGGGCCCTGGGGTGACACCAGTCACTGCGTTCCATCACTTACAGCTGAAAATTTCGGCCAAGTTCATGGTCTGGTGGCATTTCTGCTTGGAGTGCAGTCCCTTGCCTTGTGCTTTGTTTTTAGTTTTTCCTGCTGCACTGAAGAGAACAGGTTTTTCAGGCTTCCTGAGGTCAGGGATGCACACCCTGTGCCACGGGAAGGAACCTGTCAGGGAACACTGAGTTCAGATGCTTTTAAAGAGAAATCCCTGTTTGAGTGGAGCTGTGGTGGCTTGGTCTCACCACCCAGTTCTGCTGGCTCATCTCAGCAGCTTGTGCTTCTCTCCTGGAGTGTTCTCATCCACTTGGAACTTGCTTTCTGGAAACGCAGAGCGTAAGCAATTCCTTTAAAATCAGTGGAATCCTGTGAGGTGAGGAGGTGTCCTGAGGCCAGGGGCTGTGTCTCCAGGTGCTGAGCTGTGCCACGTGGAGCTGTGGGTGTTGTGGCTCTTGGCCACCTCTGGCTCTGCTCCAGGCAGTGGATGCAGTGCAGGGTTGGGACTGTCAGAGAGTGAGGAGTTGAGGCAGTGGCTGGCTGTGTGCTGGGCTCACTGGCCGTGGAGTTTAACTGAATCTTACGGTCACACACAGTCCTCTTGCTGACCTCCTGTCTGTTTGATCTTGATTGAATGAGCTCTGCTTGAGGCAGCTGTTAGCCAGGACCAACCAAACCTGTGCTTTGGGTTTCGTTGCTTTTTTTGCCAAAGATCAGAACAGAAATTCTACATTCTGACCAGGACAGGCATCGTGTCCTGCTCATCACCTGGGGATGTTGTACGGACAGCATATACAGAAGGCTCAAGCTTTGTCACAGTGCTGGTGGCACCTGCAGTAATTTCATTGTACCCATTTTCTCCATTGATTTTACACTGAAAGCACTGATCAGTTTTTTTAATACATATAAAGTGTCAGTATGGCCTGACATGGTAAGAATGGAAATTTTGTCATTTTCTGAATAATAATATTCCAACTGAAACATGCTTGGGAGCTGTAGGTAAAAGCCAGTTGTGGAAGAGGTAAGTTGCACTCTTGTGGAGAGGGAAACTGAGGCACAGGCAGCAGCAGGAGACTGAGGGAACAGTGGCAGGGCTGAGCTGCACTGGGGTCTGACCTCTGCTTGCTGCAGAGTCCTACGCCCGAGGCTCACTTCCTTCAGGGGCTGAGTTGGGTCAACAGGGGGAGAATTTTATCAGATACATGTTCCCCAAATGCCTGGGAGAAACCTCCTGCCTGTGTGTCCTCCATGGCTTCCAGATGGGGGGCAGCTGGACAAGAAGCCAAAGAGCTTCTTGTAGGACGAGGCACAATCTGCTTTGGATTGTGAGCAGCAGCTCCCGTGGGGCTTTGCCTTTTGCCGTGGGGATTCTCCTGGCGCCGGAGGCTCCCACGCAGCCTCAGGGCTGGGTCGGGGGAGCCAGGACGTTCCCCATCTCCTGGCCCTGTGTCCTGGCTCCCTCTGTGTTCCCTAAAACAAGCCCTGTGCTTAGTCTGCAAGTTGCAGTGTCGTAGCAGACTGAGCAAAATTTCCCTTGCTTTTCAATTGGGAGGAGTGATCAAATACCTCTTTGCCAAAAAAGGACAGAATAGGCCTCATTTATTAAATAATCTTGCAGATTTTCTCCAGATCACATTCTCTTGGGGTTACTTGCTCTCTGCTGTTTGAGCATCAGTAAGAGGCTTTTGGCTTGTTACTTAGTCAAGGTTTTTAGTGTCTGCAGCTGGGAGGGGGATGAGCACCAGAATTCTGTCACCTGGATCACCTGGGGAGTTGTGCAGGTCCTGTGGTCTCCATGGTCACTCTGGTCCTTGGGAACCTGGGATTGGGACTGGACTTCCAGGCACCACCAATAAGGCAAAAAGTTCCAGTTTTGGGAGGTGAAAGGGACGAGGTGAGCACAGCAGTGGGACGGGCACTGGGTGAGTGGCGGGGACAACAAATCAAACTGGTACATTTGACTTATTTTTGTTAAGCTGCAGTGTAAGGTTTTGTCAGCCAGTGGATTCACAGCTGTTCAAGGGATGGTGTGTAAGAGCATAACCCATTTTTATAGAATTGTTTCTTCTTTAATGCTTAAGGCTAATGGAGGAAATAGTCTAATTTTGTCTTAGAAATTCTCTATTAAAATTGTTGCTTTGAGTCCATCCGCTCATAGGTTCTCTGACTGATGAAACTGCAGGTTCTGATTTCCGGCAGTTATAACTTTATCACTTTTCACTACCCAAGAATATTACAGCTTTAAAACAGCCTTAAGCAAAAGGATATTATTTCTTTGTACTAAATTTGGTTCATGGAAAAGAAAAAAAAAGAAACCTCAAAACACTGGTAATCCGTACTGCATTAGCAAACTCTTCTGAAAAATGTTATTGCACATGTAAAATATGAAAACTTGACTCTGCTGTGTGTTAGGCAATCCTGTAACCTTTTTTTCTTTTTTTTTTTTTT